CTGGCTGCTAAGCTGGTGAAGCCAGCACCAGCCTGGCACAGGCAGCAGAGGGATGCGGGCAGCCCCTGGAGTAGCCCAGCATCAACCTCCTGCCTCTGCACCATGCCCAGGACAGCCACTGGAACGAAGGGGACATGCTTGCTGTGCTGGCACTGGAGCAGAGATATTGCGCTGCCTCGCCTACCTCCTCTTCCCAGAGGTGGGAGGACCGCAGCTCTGTCTGGATGCTTGCAGAAGGAGCGGATGCAGTTTAGCATCTGGAAGGAGGAGGGGCTGTGTTTGGTGAGCAACTCCAGTGATGGCCACATCAGGATCTGGGGCAACAAGCTGAATGCCCTGCCTTCACTGGGAGTCCCAGAGTGCTGCCAGGTGAGAGATGGGGACCCCCCCAACATCTGCAGCCAGCTACCAAAGGTGTGCCTCAGACACAAGTAGGCAGCTCCTCCACCAGCGAGGGTATGGCTCCTCCATACCCACAGGGTTTAACCTGCAGGAAGGGCACTCAGATGGGAATATGTAGCTGCAAGTCACTTCTAGTGCAAACGGGGAGCACAGCTGGCACCTCCCCAGCCCCTCAGTCCTGATGGGGACAGGAGAAGCTCTGCAGGAGGTGGCCAGCCCCTTGCTTGGAGGGGAGCAGCCCTTGGCAGGCAGAGAGAGGGAGCAGAGCCCGCAGCAGAGGGGGGAGAGCAGGGGGAGGCAGAGCAGGGGGTCAGGTGAGTGTAAAGTTGGATGAAAGGATGAAGACATTGAACATGAGAGAGAGAAAGAGAGCCCCAGCCCACAGACATTGCTTTTGTTTCAAGCTCCGGTTTCTCCCTAGCTGCTGGCACGACTGTGGAGTACAGACCCAAACACGGGCAGACACCAGGACCCATGGCTACAGAAACGTGCCAAATCTCTCCCCCTAAGGCAGGGGATGCCTCTCTGGCCAGCTGCTACTTACGTTCCTGTCCGCCGCTCTCCTGGGCCAGGTTCTCTTTGCTCTTGTAAAATGGAAACTTTCGAGAGAGGCGGAAACTCTTTTTACGTTTCGTTTTGATCGACTGAAGAACATGGAGATGGAAGGGAGGACAGAAAAAACAATGACGTTTAACATAGGTGGGAAAAATTAAAATGAAGAGACAATGAGGAGCTGTGTCAGGGCAGTTACCCTCAAATGAAATAATGGAGATTACATGAAAACTGTAATGCAGGAAAAAAATTAAGTGTGGAGAACAACACGTGGTAGGGATGCTGGGAAGCTGATGGGGCAATCAGCAGCTCTGCAGGGGTAGCCAGGCTGTTCTCCCTTCCTTCTCCGCTTGCTAAGCGCTCCGTGCAAGGGCAGCCACCTTCACCTGCATGAGCTTCCTGCAGTCAGCTCCCAGCCACGGGCCACAGTGCGACAGGCTCTGGTCCCCCACCACTCCAATCAGGGGTCCTTCCCCCGTGCTTTCACACCATCCCGGGCTCCTCTGCTCACCTCCTGCACAGTCACAGAGGATTTGTGGCAAGCAGATGCGGGCCTAGGGCCAGCCATGCTGCTCTCTGCTTTGGGATTGCTCCAGCCACCCCAGCAGGAGTGGTAGCTGGGCCTCATCCTGCCCCCGCTAGCTACTGGCTCCAGGCGCCCTGCTGAGCCCCAGTTCGGCACTTACCCTGTTGGACTCAATCATGCCAGTCCGGGCGTGGAACTTCACCGTTTTCAACCGCGCTCTCTCCTTCTTTTCCACCCTGATCAGAAATTAAAGGGGAGAAAGAGCTGCTAGCCCCATGCATGTGCCCTCTGTGCCACCCACTTGGCTCCCCAAGCAGCTCCGAGCACCCTTGGGTGGTGGCCCTGCTCCTTCCCAGAGTTACAGGGTGGAGCTGCCTGCCCAGGGTCTGGCCAATGCCAGCATCTGCAGGAGTAAGAGAGGGGACAAGCCAGCCTTCCCGTGAGGGGAAGGATGGATGACAGAGATGGGGTTGGCTCTGCAGACCTGAAGGCAGTGGCAGCCAGCTCCTCTGCTCCCTGCAACTTCCCATCTCATAGGACCCAGCTCACAGATTTGGGCTGGTTGTAAGAGGACACAAGGAGCAGCCTGCAGTCACTGCTGTGACTCTGCTCTCACTTGGAGCCCAAGACTGGCTTACACCAGCTCTCCATCCCCACAAGGATCATAGAGGGGGCTGAGCATTCCCACGTCACCTGGAATCTCACCTTTGGAGCTTTGGAGGACATCTCCCCAGGGACACCTGCATGCAGCCCGAGCTTGCAGCCAGGGTGCCCTTCATATTGCACTGCCAATGGAGGGGCAGGTGGGCTTGGGACCACAAGGAGATCCCACCCTGAGCAGACCCCCCAGGGCTGCAGGGCTCATGGAGGCTCCTCCTGGAGGAGGCACCACACGTGACAGCTCCAGCTGATGGACACTCACCTTTTCTTGCTGGGGATGACTCCGATCTGCTCGCTCTCGCCATGAGGCGTGACAAGCCTGGCCTGCCACCACTCATCGTCAGAGGCATTGATGACGTGCAGGATGTCCCCATAGGAGAAGCTGAGGCCCTGGCTGGGCAAGCAACTGTCCCGGGTCCGGTCATAGTCAAACAGGGCTCTGCAGGAGAGCAGGAAGAGGAACGATGACTTCCCCAAGCATGGCCAGGCAGCAAGGGCAGCAGCACTGCTGACCTCACAGGGTACTGACACCTTCATACCTTAAAGGATTTAAACCCAAACTTTGGGGAAGCCTCCTGCCGAGGTGAGCGGCGCTGCACAGCCACCAGCACGCCCCTCACACTGCAGGCTCAGCACAAGCCCCGAAGTGTGCAACACAGGAATAAGAGCACTGGACCAAACCAACTCGCTCTTGGCCTTCGCTGCGAGAGGCACACGAACCACAGATGCATTGAAGGCAGCTGTGGTTAGTGAGCAGGCGAAGCTCACGCAGCCTCAAGAAAGCAGCAGCACACAGGAGGGCAGCGGGGAGCTGGGGTGTGGGGCTGCTCCCCACTGTCCCTCCCTTGCAGGGCCAAAGAGCAAGTTGGGGAACATCAGACCCCACTGGGTGGTAGCACAAGCAGAGACCACAGGGTTTGTTGAGCACACACTTTATGTACAAGGGTGCATTAATCCAGAGCCTGTGAATTAGGACGCATCTAGGGTATATATATCTGCTTCCACAACTGATCCTTTTCAGACTCCTAAGTACTTCCCCTGCAAACAGTTTATTTAGTTCAAAATTATCTTCAATATTAAACTAACCAGCTACAGAAAAGACGATTACTTTTTTTTTTTCTTGAAACTAGAGGAGCACTAATACCCTTCCTGTGCACACTTTATCACACACAGCACTGCAGCCCGTACCCACAGGCTGCTCTCGGTGGCTTCACGTGCAACTCATTCTACTCATGTCAGATCTCAAACCGCGTCTGCTTTGATATATCCACTTTGCAACAAACCAAACCAAGGGAACAGTCACTAAAAGCACTGCTGCTGTCAGCACAACCCCCGTGTTTGCTCCTAGGACACTGGCCCCGCTCAGCCACTGGGTGGTAGCACAAGCAGAGACCACAGGGTTTGTTGAGCACACACTTTATGTACAAGGGTGCATTAATCCAGAGCCTGTGAATTAGGACGCATCTAGGGTATATATATCTGCTTCCACAACTGATCCTTTTCAGACTCCTAAGTACTTCCCCTGCAAACAGTTTATTTAGTTCAAAATTATCTTCAATATTAAACTAACCAGCTACAGAAAAGACGATTACTTTTTTTTTTTCTTGAAACTAGAGGAGCACTAATACCCTTCCTGTGCACACTTTATCACACACAGCACTGCAGCCCGTACCCACAGGCTGCTCTCGGTGGCTTCACGTGCAACTCATTCTACTCATGTCAGATCTCAAACCGCGTCTGCTTTGATATATCCACTTTGCAACAAACCAAACCAAGGGAACAGTCACTAAAAGCACTGCTGCTGTCAGCACAACCCCCGTGTTTGCTCCTAGGACACTGGCCCCGCTCAGCCCACAGCCCGACATGAGCCCAGGCACTGCAAACACTGGCTGGTTGCTGGTTTAATCCCAGCACTAGCGAGCCTTCCTAAACCAGGAGAGACACCCTCTGCCCTGCTCATTACTCCCTTCCACTGCGGGGACTCCTAAGGGGGTCTGAAAGCAACAGAGCAAATGGGAGCGCCAAGGGACTATGTGGCAGGTGCCCATGGAGCAGCAGAGCTGGGAGGGCACTTCTTCAGGCAGATCCTTGCTCCAGCGCTGCCAGGGGAGTGCAGGGTGATGAAACCTTTCAGGTCATTTGGGACTGGGTCAAGGCAGCTGGTCTTGAATGGGGAGGAGGAGGAAAAGAGGTGCTGCCCTGTGGCTCAGGGAAGACTCTTGGGGACAAGACTCAATGCAGCCCTATACAACCAGGTACATCCAGCCAACAGGTCGCACCCCCTTTCCCAGTTTGCTCAGGACTGGGGCAGCTCTTGTGCTCTGTCCCTCTGCACCCAAGCACAGCCCCCGGCACACTGGAGTCAGCAGCAAAGCACCACAGGGCGCTTTGGCCAGAGGCAAGCAACTCTTGCAGGCAGCTCCTGGTGAAAAGATAAGGCTTCGTGTGGCCGGCAGGCCCCTGCGAGGCCAGTGCTGTCGGGAGTGAAGCACAAACAAAGGCCCCAGGGAACTGGTCAGGCCGGTTCCCAAACCAAGGCAGGCTGCGGGGCGCCCTGCCCACACCCCGCACCCTGCCCTGCAGAGCAGCGCTGGCCCCGCAGCTCCCTGCCTCCTCCCGCAGCAGCCACTGGCGTCCCAGGGCAGGCACAGCAAGATTTGTGCAAGGGCTGGACACCGGTTTTTGCTTCCCCAAGGTGTGATGCTCCCGGAAACCAGCCCCTGGCCATGTTGGCACCCAGGACCCACCCTGGCTGGGTGCTCCCCAGGGTGCGGGGGCCAGAGGTGGCGCGGTCGCTCTGCTCTGCCCCCGGGGCCAGCTCGCTGCAAGAGATGCCAGGAGAGCAGATGGTTTGGCTGGAGGGCAGGGGAGCAGTGCCAGGGACTTGACACGGCCTCCTCCCCGTGCCCAGGCACAACGCCCGCCTGACCCCCATCCCAGCCTGGCACGGCCCCAGTGCTGGTGGACTTTGCCCTGCAGCAGCGCAGGCAGGCGGTGGGCAGGGCACGAACCTGCCTTGCCCCTGCCTGTGCTGCGCCGCTGCAGCTCCGAAACACGTGGTGAGCACCTACACCCCCAAATCGGCTCCAGCAGGCACTCAGGTGCCCGGCTCCAGCCCTGTTGACAACACGCGGGGTGCAACACAGCCTCACAGGGCTGACTCAAGCAGTTGGGTAGCAAGTCCTGTAATTGATGTCCTGTCCGCAGTGCAGCAGCTCAGCTGGTTTCGGGTAAACTGTGCTCGAAACTACCCCGCCCAAAAGGGCTGGAGCAGCCTGGGCGCCTGGTGGCTGTCGCAAGCACATTTGTGGGATGCGCAGCCACCAGAGCCAGGAAGGGTCGTGGAAGGTCACGCTAGGGCAAAGCTCTCCCCAGGGATCACCTTCTCAGCAAGGCACTGCCCAGCTCCTATCTGAAGCCACTTGGGTGTATGTGAGTGGACACAGCACTGCAGAGGCCAAAGCCACGTGAAGGGATGCATCAAGATAGGGGAGATGCTACAAACAGCCTGGAGGCAGCAGGGAGTGCTCTGGCTTGCGGGCATGCCCCAATATGTGCGGCACCTATCCAGGCAGGGAACAGGAGACTCACAGGCTCAACTCAATCTGGACCCAGCCTAAACCCTGCTCCATCCACAAGGACACCCATGGGACAAGCAGGGGAGCAAGGGCAGGACTAGCAAGAAGGTGTTTATTCAACATGGCACCCAGGCCATTGCACACCCACAGCATGGAGCCCCAAGACTCTAAATCAGGCGAGATGCCTGCAGAGCCTCATGGGAAGGCAAGAATTGCAGGAACCCAGAGCTTCAGCTTTCCCCTCCTGCCAGGCTGGGCTTGCACTGGGTCCAGCAACAGCCTGAAGCCCCTCTGCATGGAGCAGCGATGCAGTGGGAGATGCAGGCTGAGGCTGATGCAGCCTCAGCTCTTGTCATCCTCCCCACAGCGAAAGAGAAGCATCCCCTGCTGCTGCCAGCTCCCACCTGTAACAGGCTGTGCAGGGTGCAGATTTACAGGATTATTTTAATTACCAAGTTAAAATTACTCATTAGCTGTCACCCCACTGGCACTGTGGCAGGCGAGAGATGGCAGGAGGCAGGCAGCGAGCAGGGGTTGTCCTGGTGGTGCAGGACTTGCAGCTGTTAGAGCTGCATGGCTGCTTAACCCCTGCCTGCCCTGTACCTGGATCGGGACCAAAAGCACATCGCATTGAGGGCTCAGAGTAATAATCCTCCTAAGAGCTCATCTCCTCTCCAGCCAGATGCTGCCACAGGAATGGCGAGAGGAGATGAGGAAAAGCCTGTTAGCAGGGAATGGTTCAAGGAGAGAGCCCTAAACGCTGCCCTGAGCTACCCAGGGCAGAAGCGGTGCTGGATGCCTGGCATTTCCCTGTTTCCCAGTGGTCCTCAGTGGGTTGGCCTGGCCAGCATATGCCCAGGGCTCTGTAGAGACATCAGCACTTCCCAAAGCGGAGCAGCCCTTGGAAGAGGCACTTGAGCGCCGAGCACTCAGCCCTGGCAAATCAGTGCAAAAGTACAGCTTTCCCTGCTGCAGCCTCTGGACTTCACAGTAATATCACGCTCACTTCCCTGGCCTCCAAAACACCCACCCACAGAGGTGCTGAAGGGCCCAGGCTGAACCATCCCACCCTGCACCCCTCACCATGGGGATATAACCAACCCCGGCTGCCTGGCGCAAGGGGGGCTGAGCCTTACCGGACATAGAGAGATCTCTTCTCGCTTGTCCGGAGTGAGCCGGAGCCAGAGCTCATGCTGCTGTTCATCATCTGCTCTCTCAGGTCGTGGATCTTTGACTCAAAGCGGCTGTACTCTGTGGGGAGAGAGGTGGTCAGTGAGACAGGAGCTGCCCCTGAGCCACCCCCCCACCGAGCAGGGCACAACCAGTAAGCGCCGAGGGAGGCAATGACAGCCTGTCCATGGGGCATCTTGCCCATGAGCCCATCTGTTCCCACACGAGAGAGGATGAAGCTGAAGAGGCTGCGGCCCACTCCTGTGGGAGTCCAGGCAGGGCACTGGCTGCTCCCAAACCCACCCCAAACTCCCGCAAGGGCAGCTTGGAGGGCTGCCGAGACCTCCACCACTACCGAGCCGCAGGGCAGTGAGGGAAAGGCTGGACAGGGCTCAGCAAGCCACTGAGCCACAGCGCGGTTCAAAATGTGCAAAGAAAGAGAGCCCCTCCGGGAGACCGTCCCCCACCGGCTGGAGCAGCAAGGCACGACTGCAGCTACCGGGGAGCCCCCACCCAGCGCTCTGCCAGCAGCGGAGCCCCCTCTCTCCAGCAGACACAGGGAAGGGGGAGGCAAAGCATGGCCCCTGCCCACGAAAGGGGAGCGGGGAGGAGGAATTCACCTTCTGCTCATACATCCTGGCAGCAGAGACCTGCAGGAGGAGCCAGGGGACCCTCCAGAAGCTGCTGCCACCGCGGCAGGAGCAGCAGCCACCCCAGTGCCTGCTGAGGCGCCAGGCGCCAGCCCAACCTTCAGCTGGGTGTAAAGGTCGGAGGGTGGAGACACCAGCCCTGCTTACCCAGGGCCGACTGGGAAAGGTTTGCTGGGCGGTGAGCAACTGTGGCACCAGGGGAGGTGCCAGCAGCACCACAGCCCACTCTGGCAGTTCTCACCCTGCACCCTTGATTTTGCCCCCTGGGTACACCCTGCACCCTTGATTTTGCCCCCTGGGTACACCCTGCAGTTACATCCCCACGTCCTGGTGAGAGGGGACCAGTCTCATCTCTGCTGCAAGACTTGCATAAAAAGCCTTCTTCACAACCCAGCAGTTCAGATGTGGTTTGGGGTATTTTTGTGAACCGGAGCACAGCAGCTCGCTGAAGAGCAGAGCCCCAGCAGTGTGGGGGACGGTGCAGGCTGCTGCCTGGCCTGCAGTGCTGCATCGCACCAGGGGAGCGGGAACAACACACTGCTAAGAAAGGCACTGTGGGCTGCGTTTGAGAGCCAGCCCCCCACTGCGCAAGGGGAGAGAAGACTCCTGGTGCAGATGCAGGTGGGGCTGGGATTATGGGGTTATGCGGCTGCAGTTTGGCATTTCCCGACTCTCCAGCCCATCACTCTGCAATGGGACCCACCTGGGCATCCCCCTTCCACACCCAGCTGCCAAAGATGCATTTTTACTTAAAGACTGAAAAAAAAAAGGCAATATACACCAAAACCACCAAGTAGCACACGGGAACTCCAAAGGTAGCCCCTTCCCTTGCCACAGGACATCAAGACCCTGCACGCCAGGCAGGGTCAGATGCTTAATGTGGAGGTCACCAGGCTGCCCCCAACCCCATGCAGAGGGGCACCCACCGCCCCTGCCTGCCTCCCTAAGAGGGAAACACAGAAGCAGCCAGGCATGGGCAAGGCTTATTTTATAAGAAAACTGAATTCTGACACCAAAGCAGCACTTTTGCACTCGCTGACCTGCACTGGGGATTTATGGAGTTCCTGGCAGAGGGAAGCAAGCTTCATCCCCCTCCACACCTCTTGCCCCATGCTGGGGTAGGCCACAGCATCTGTGGAGCAGCTCATTCTGCCCCAGGATGCCCATGAGTCCTTATATCCCAGAGAAGTATCTGTCAGAAGCGGGTACAGCTGCTCTGTAAATGCTCTTTGGTATGGAAGGGCTATTTCCCCCAGAAAGCTGCTGAACTGGGCACTACAACCCCTGTGCCAAGCAAGTCATCCCAAACCCCACCAGGGGCACAGACTCTCTGCACACCCCAGACCGACAGGACTGCTGTTCCCCACCACGCAAGCTCACATCCCTGGCATGGAAGACACATTGCCTGGGCTCAGGCAGGCAGTAAAGGGCAAAAGCAGGTTTAGCCACCACTAGCATCAGGGCGGGGATGTCAGAAGGGCAACCTTTGGGTGCCACCGCCCTGCCAGCAATTGCGTCCCCTGCATGCAACCCAAGGGCAGAGCTCTCAAACGCTCCCGCCTCAGCTGGGACTCTCCATGGAGTGCTCGCTGGAGTGGCCACACTGCTTGGAGGGCCTGGGAAAAGCCCACCTGCATGACAAGAAGCACAAAGCCAGGCTGGATGCAGCAAACCAAAGAAGGACACAGGGGTTGCTCTAGCTTTATCCCCCTGGAGAGCAAATGCAATCCCATCCTAGGGAGGGTCTCCCAAGGAGCCACCAACCCATGCTCGCTCGGACTGCAGGAGGGCGCAGCAGCAGCCAGCCCCAAAAGCAAGCCCGCCACCCCCGTCCCAGTGCAGGGGAGGCGAGGTTACCCCAGGAGTGAGCATGGAATGCTCCCAGCTGCCACTGGCCCCCCTTATCTGCACACTGTAGCAGCCTCCAAGACAATTACCGGCAGATAACCCCCAGCAAGGAGCGCTCCTGCCTTTATTCCCAGGCTCATGGCCACCTTGCCTCCACATCCTGGAAGGAGATCTCCCACGCAGCTGAAACTTGCCTGGGAAACTTGCCCACAGCGCAGCAGAGAGGTGAGCCATGGCTGATCCCCACCTCCCCAGCATTCCTACAGGACCCAGGTGCCGGACACATTCAGGACACACTTATCAAGACTGAAAAATATGCAACAGGTGACCGGGCGCCTCTTGCTGTGAGTGCCACCATGGCGCTGCGCCACATGCCAGGAGGGGCAGGACATTTGCTATTCCCACTCAGCAACTTGATAAAAACACCGCTCCACCCTCCCGCAGCTCTTCCCTTCCCAGGGTGTGGGTGCCCCTGGAGCTGGGCCTGATCCTGCACCACAGGGTGACCTTGGCGCCAGGAGCAGGACACGGCCCTGCATGCCCGAGTGCGTGCAGGTCACAGACCATTAAGATCAGGCAGGGATCGCCTGCCTGCACCAAGGATCCCCAGCACTGCACAGGCTCATGTGGTGCAGCTGCAAATACACCCAGTGAAGCCAACAAGACGGCGGGTCTGCAGTCAATTTCTGGGCACCAGGAGACAGTGCAAGAGGCGATGACACTGGTAGAGAAGGGAGCTGCACTGGAAAGCAACCCCCAAGCATGCCTAAAGCCTTGTGCACGTGCCCTGTTCTCTCTGGCATACGAACCCCCCTACCCAGGGCCAGGCCGGCTCCGCGAGGCCATCAGCAGAGTCCGGGGATGCTTGGCCACAAGTTCCAGCCCAGCCACCTGCAAAAACTACCCCCAGCTCCATCCTTCCCCTTCAGCCCGGCATTTTATTGCCCTGAGCCCTCACATCTTCCAGTTGTGGGTTAAAGTACAGACACCTCCCTGCACAGGGCACATGTGCTGCAGGCCCAGGCGAGCAGAGGGAAGCATGGCCATGGAGAAAGCTTGGAGGCTTCTAAAAGTCACCGTCCAGCCCTGGCACTTCCATTTGAGCAGCCAGCTCAGAGAAATGCTGTCACACAAGTTTTTGTATTTTTAGGTGAGGAATATCAAGGCTTTGTTGCACAGGGCATAAGGAGGGGGAATTGCCAAACCCAAGCACCAGTGATAGCAGCAGCCAAAGGTCAGGGAGAGAAGTGCTCAGAGGGAAAGGACATCACAAACAGCTCAGAGGCACCATCACAGTGAGCAGTGTCCTCCTTCCCCTCAACAGCATGCAACAGTGCTCAGAGGTGCTGTGCCAGGTACAGGTGCTCAGAAGAAAGGATGGCAGCTCCTCTTTCTATCATTCCCTGGTTTTGTCTTTGCTTCCTTCCACTCCTAGTGCCTAGCAGGACCTCACAGGGAGGGCACCCCCACGACCTGCACAAGCACCCTCTCTGCTCCAAAGGAGCCCCAAGGCCAGACGCAGAGCACTCATCCAGCACCCCACAGGCAAGCCCTAGTTGCACTCACCTACGAGACACAGGCACCATCCTCCACCTCTGCTAGCAGGAAGGAACTTCTCAGATCCTACAACCCAGCTTTCTTGCTCTTTCTACAGCCATGATGCACACAGAAAAGGCAATTATTTGGGAGCATGCATCCCCTCAAGGCGACCCAGCCTCACCTGCACCTGGGGCTCATGCCAGGGAGACCTTTCTCCTTGGCTCCCAGGCCTTCAAGCCTCTGGAGCGCTGAGGTCAACTCCCAAGATACAACAGTCTGCTTCACAGCAGCAACGCTGCCTCCCCGGACGGCTGCAGCCCGTGTGCCGGGTGCTGCTGCCCACACGTGCCAGGAGCCATCGCAGACCTGGAAAACCACTGGCTACAAAGCACTGACATTTCAGCCTCAGTCTAAAGGAATTTACAAAACATCTTGTCCTGTTTGACATTTAGGAACCTCTCTTGGTTGGTGTCTTTGCCAAATCTCAAGAGGCAAAGGGAGCCAGAAATACAAGAACATTAAGTGCTTCCTGGAAAGAAAGAAAGGAAGAAAAAAAAAAAAAAAAAGCCAAAACAAACAAACCCCACACCCAGAGCGCACCCCCGAGCAACGGCTGCATGCCCTGCCATGGAACAGAGGAGGAACAGCAGGGACAGGGACCCGCAGGGCACTGCCCAGCGATGCCACCGAGGAGGCACAAGGTAAAGGGCAGGCGAGGGGCGGCACGTTGGCCTCGGCGGAGAGGAGCGGGGGGAGAAAACCAGCAGGGCCCAGGAGAGACACCTTCACCAGGGGACGTGCACTGCTGCATCCCGGCACCGGCCCGGGGCCCGCGGGACGAGGCGACAGCACGGGG